CCCACCGTGAGATCACCAAAGCTACTATCCAGCAACGACCTGTGGCCTTGAGAGATATACTCGTTCCAGCAGCTAAGCAATTAAGCACATCAACAGGTCTACATATGAAAGCGAAAGCAATCAAGCGCATACATGGGAAAACCAAAATAAAAGAAATTTGGCAGCTTGCTGACACTCCCTCTCTCCCTCCATCTCTTTGCCATCTTTCCCTCATTTCCTTTTCATTCCCTCCTTTTCTTTGTTTCCCTTCTCTTCCTTCCTTCCTCTCTTTTCCTCCTTTCTTTCTTTCCATCTCTTTCTTTCCCTCTTTCCTTCTCTCTACTCTCTCTCTTTCCTTCCCTCTTTCCTCCTGCTGTGGCCCAACTCTAGTGAGAAGGGGTTTAAACTTTAAACCATATGCTAATGAGCTCCTGCAACTCTTTTTCTAGGAAAAGACCCCTGGCTATGATGAAACTAATTGCTTGGATTCTGAACCAGATTGTAAAATAACAGTATTACAGTCTTAACAGCATTTGTTGTTCAGTCACACAGTCGAGTCCGACTCTTCGTGACCCCATGGACCAGCTCCCGCCAGGCCTTCTGGTCTTCCGCCATCCTCTGAAGTTGGCTCAACTTCATGTTCGTTGCATCGATGACACCGTCTAACCATCTCATCCTTTGCCGTCCCCGTCTTCTTTGACCTTCAATCTTTCCCAGCATCAGGGTCTTCTTCTCCAGTGAGGGCTCCCTTCTCATTGGGTGGCCAAAGTATTTGAGCTTCAGTTTCATTATCTGGCCTTCCAGGGAACAGTCAGGGTTGATTTCTTTTAGGATTGACTGATTTGATCTTCTTGCAGTCCAGGGGATTCTCAAGATGAGTCTTCTCCAGCACCCTAGTTCAAAAGAATCTATTCTTTGGCGCTTGGCCTTCCTTATAGTCCAGAACTCTCGCAGCCGTACATGACTTTACATTACGTTACATTAGCATTACAAAATTCGATGGGAAATCTCAGCTTTACATACATGACCAAAAAACCAAACTCATTGCAGAATAATATCACACAATTCAAGGGGAAGTCCCAACACAGTGCTTTTCTACGTTTGCTCAACCTCCCCGTGTCTCCTGTGCGTTTGTTGCAGGTGGGGCCTGGAGATCTCCCAGAATTACAACTCGTCTCCAGACCACAGAGATCAGTTCCTCCTGGAGAAAATGGCGGCTTTGGAGGGTGGGCTCCGTGGCGTTGTGCCCCCCTTCCCTCCCCAGTCTGCACCCCCAAAACTCCAGGAATTTCCCAACCAAGAGTTGGCAACTCAACCTTGATGGGATGTTTCCGTGAGAACGGGATGGAAGCAGGCGGCCACGTGGCGACCACGTTGCTCCGTTCAGGCCTTTGCTTCACATCAAATGTGACGAAACTCTAGTCTGAAATAGATGAGTGACATTTTGAAAAAGGGGTTTCTGGGGTATTTTAGTGTAATGTATTGAGCCTAGGTTAGGAGCTGCGGTGGCTCAAGGGGTTAAGACGCTGAACTGCGGGCTGTGGAAGGTTGGTCGTTCAGCAGTTCGAGACCCGAGTGTGCCGCATGACGGAGTGAGCTCCCGTCTCTAGTTCCAGCTCCTGCCAACCTAGCAGTTCGAAAGCAAGAAACTGCAAGTAGATAAATAGGTACCACTTCAGTGGGAAAGTAACAGCGTTCCATGCGCCTTGGTGTTTAGTCATGTCGGCCACATGACCACGGAAACGTCTTCGGACAGCGCTGGCTCTTCGGCTTGGAAACGGAGATGAGCACCGCAACCCTAGAGTTGGATTCGACTGGCTTTCGAGCAAGGGAACCTTTACCTTTACCTTTATTGAGCCTAGACCATACTTCGGCTGATGCTTAATTCGGACAGAGCTTGAAGATCCATAACAATAGCTGACTAGGATCCTAGAATGGACCGTAATGAGACAGGGATCCTAGAGTAAACCAATGGAATAACAATGTAATTAGGGTTGCCAACCTCCAGGTGGGGCCTGGGGATCTCCTGCTTTTACCACTGATCCCCAGCCGACAGAAATCAGCTCCCCTGGAGAAAATGGCTGCTTTGAAGGGTGGACTCCGTGGCATTGTGCCATGCTGAGGCCCCTCCCCTCCCCAAACCACACCCTCTCCTGGCTCCACCCCCAAAATCTCCAGGTATTTTCCAACCCAGACTTGGCATCCCTAAATGTAATGTAAATAGCCTATCATGGGAGTGAGTGTGTGTTTGGGGTGTAACCTTTTGCATGCATAAATACCTGGCTTTGGTCAGGGATTCTCAGTCTTCTTTCTACTTGCTGAAATCACGAATAAAGCATGAACTGATCACTACTCGTGTGTCGAACCCAGTATGTTTAATTAGATTCTCTGCTCTTTTTTTTTTTAAGTACCCAAGAATACACTTTTATTATATTTTTTCCTTATATACTTGATTCTCTGCTTTTTAATGACAGCCTGCATTGAGTCCTAGGGAAGTGGCCGGCGAGCAACTGAACTGAACGGAGAGAGAGAGAGAGAGAGAAAGCCGAGAAGCCCCACAAGCGGAGGGGTCCTTGCCAGTGTTCCCTCTAAGCTGAGTCAGTGTGAGCTAACTCACAATTCTTTAGCCTCCGGCTCACAGGTTTTTGTCCCAGCTCTGGAAGGATGGGGCTCCAGAGCAAACTAATTCATGCAGTAGCCATATCGCTCGCTCACAACTTTAATGCCAGCAGCAGCTCACAAAGTAGGATTTTTGCTCACCAGACTCCACAGCTTAGAGGGAGCCTTGGTCCTTGCCTGAGCCATTTGCGGGGGTGGGGGTGGGTGGGAACCGAGTGACTCATAAACTGGGCCTCCAGAATGTGGAGGCAACAGGCGGAAGCCCACGTGATGGTTCTGGCAACTCCCCGTTCCCTTATGACTTACATTTGACCACTGGAAGTTGCGCTTTAGGTCAGTGCTGGTAGATCCAGCTGTTGTTTACTCAGGGAAGATAATGGATTTGGCGGCTTGCGCTCTGCACCAGCTTTTCTGGGAAAATGGCCCCACGATCATGAGTCTTGATTTTCACAAAGTACGAAACCTAAAGAACATTATATATCTAGGAGAAAAGTCCACAGCTACAGAGACAGGTTCCAATGCTGTAGACCAGGGGGTGTCAAATGTGCGGCCCAGGGGCCAGGTCAGGCCCCCAGAGGGCTTCTATCAGAGGGCTTCTATTCTGTGGTGAATGCCAATAAATCAAAAGTATCGTGATGTTTTTATTATTGTTCCTGCTGCTGTTATGTTATGTTATTCATAGTCTGCCTGCCTTGCTGAGAGTCAAGGCAGATTACAGTGTGTGTGAGTCACCTATAACCGACAGAACGGGGCGTCCACTGAACTGCGCAACAGGGGAAGATCCAGCTGTTGTTTACTCAGGGAAGAGAATGGATTTGGCGGCTTGCGCTCCGCACCAGCTTTTCTGGGGAAATGG